AACACTATTTTTAAAATACATAAATTTATTTGGCAGCACATTAATAGGTAACATGACCTAAAAAAATGTATTAATGTTAACTTTAGTTTGGCAAATAATCACACAGAAATGTGAAAACAATAAGAATGACCTAAGCCAGTTTAATATATACAGCATGATGAGCCATATTTATAAGAAAGGGTAGTCTTTAAAGATAAGATAAACTGTTATTAATCCTAAATAAAATATTAAATTCGATATGAATACAGGAATTAAGTTGAGCAAATTCATACAACTGCAATGAGAATAAAACATCAATTTCCATATTTCTTATTCATAAAATATATACGATCCTACACGATGCATTATTGGCATCTTTTTTTAGTTCCAAAAGTTTAGATTATGCTCTTTGAGGTAATTTTAAAAAACTAGATAACTATCACTGTTTTAAATCATTATTAAACTATTCATGAAAGCAATCAACAGTACTTTTCATGAAAAAGAAAGAATGAGTTACCTTTATAATATACTCTAAATAAAAAAAAGTAGTCAAAAATTAATTTTTTATTTAATTATGTAATAATAAATAAAACACAGAAGAGGACTGCCATCTTTGAAGCCTCTTTATGACATAAGTAACAGAAATGTGTAAAAAGTTTTTCCTGAAGCAAAAAATAAAAACATTTTATGCCTGGCTTTAAGATTTTATTAAATTGTAAATAATTTATTCTCATAACGAAACACCTCAGTTGAGCATTAAAATAATCAATTTATTACTTTTCTAATAAAACCCCATTATGCTTTCATTTAACTAAGAAAACTACTAGATTTATATACCACACAAATGTAATTTATTTGTCAAAAAAAGAATACAAAAAATAAGACAAAGTGGTAGATATTAGATCATTAAAATGTTAATAAAATATATTTAAATATCAAACTTAATTCTTAGTATGTAAATAATCAAATGGAGTATAAGATGTATTATATATTTTATAGCTTTTCATAATTAAAAATTTGAAGATTTTTTCCGAATATCTGGAAAAATGAAATAAAAGTAAAAGAAAATCCACTAAATAAAACAATGATGGAACAAATAACTATCTACATTAATAGTATTATCATCAGACCTACACCAGATGCCAAGTTAAATATAAACTAAATGTCAAGAAGAGAAACCATTAACAACAGCTAATAATACAATTAAAATATTAAAAAGATAACATTTTTCTATGATAATAAAAAGTTCTACTAAAACTAACCATATAGCTATTATTTAAGAATCAATTTTAACAACTATATTAAATTATATATTTATTTAATATATCACAAATTATTATTGCACAATGTTTTAAAAGATCACATTATTTTATCATGTGAAACTGATGAAATAGCCAAATTATTTATGCAAATTTAAGATAAAATACTAAAACGAATACTTATGTAATTATGGAGTAATTGAAAAAGGTCAAGTGGAGTTTTATTTATCTAGAAATTTAACATTTTTTTATGTTGGCCACTGAAGTCTGTGGAAACTGATTCAGCAATTAATTATTTACACTTTTTCAGTGATCATCACCACCTGTGATTAAATTAAATCAAAGTTGTTAGACATTTATTTAATTTTACATTATAATTTTAGATGTCCTACAAAAAATAACAGATTTTGGTTGTTTACAAACATTTTTGCACAAATTAAAAATATTTTAGACCTTTAATTATTATTTTCGAATTTATAATAATTATTATTTGGATAAAAAAGAAAAGAAAATGTGTAAATATATCTTATTAATTAAATATGAATTTAAATGTCTATTTTCTTCATAATAATTCCCATGGACATTGTTGATTAAATTTAGGTTAAAAAATCAACATTTCAGTGATCAAACCTTAGAGATTTAATTAATGAAAAGACATTACGCTAACACATTAACTAAATGCTTAACTTCCATTGTCATCGTAAAACTGTCATCCTCCCCTACTGTATTAATAATATCCAGTTTATGTATGTTGAAAAGATCTACTACCAAACAATTTATTAGCACTAAAGCTCTTTGTTTTGTTTTTGAACTACTTCATTATTTACTAGAAAAACAAGCTTAACTTCCAATTTATTAAAATAAGCTCTTCTACATGACTACAATCAAGCCAATTAAGACAAGTAGAAGTGAGGTGTTTGGGGTTCCATTAAACCAACTAATTAAAAATCTGTATTAAATCAAAAATCCTCCATTAAATACCTAAGGCTCTTTATTAAGTCAGAAGTAAAATAAATACCCACTTTAATTAATTGGTAAAATCCCTACCAATTTCCCATTAACAATCATGGTTAATGAAAATAAAATAGTCTTGAGACTTTTTCAAATTCAACTCTCAGTGAAGTGGGTAGTTTCTCCGCAAGTCATATTACAATGATTCAGGTTTAAACAAATAATAAAATACTAATTTATATTGGACTTGTACTATTATTTAAAGTACAATGCATTGTAGAATTATTAGAGATTCATTAAAAGAAAAAATAGCATTTTATTATACATGAATTTTCATACTGCATGAATAGCTCTTTAACCCTAATAATTGTAATTTTTCTTGCATAACAAGGATGAAAAATTTATATTTTTTATGAATCAAAATGTCTACAGAAATAAAATTTCTTGCAAGAAACTTTCATGTTCGATATATCCCCACATATATTATTACAGTAAGGCTCGAAATCGGTTTTGTACCAAATATAAGCTCCTGTCATGCTCAAATACCATAAATGGGGTACCGTTGGATTCAGAATTTCACAGGGGGTTAGCGAATCGTATTCTCCACTTTTGTTTTTCTTTCTAAAATAAATAAAGTCGATACAAAAATTCTGCTAGGCTTCAATATTGGAACGGTGGTAGGTCTGTAGATCGATACGGGACAAATTGGATCTTGAAGACTTTGATGCGTACAGCAAGACCCGGATAGTTCCTCCGGAACTATCGGATCCTGCGTTTTTAAGCCCCAAAACGTACTATTTTCGAGATAACACAAGGTGTATGGTTCGCATCCACACAACATTACATTAATTGTAGTACTGTCATTGAATACATGTCTCATTTTGTCGTCTTGAGGTCTCTATGATCAAGAGAGGAGGAGTTTATATTATTTATCGATGGTGTTTTTGATCGGCAAGCCATATCATCGTTAATTTTTCACCAAATCTCAAGATTGAGCCACCAATTTCGAAGGCTTCCTTCTCCTTCAGGCGGGCAAAATAGTCCAATCACCCAGAAAATTCAGGCAAACAAGTTATGAAAGAAAACAAACTTTATTGCAAATCACATACTTTTCCCTTGGTTATACCCATAATTTTATAAATGATTACTATATTCCCTAAAAAAGGAAAAAAAAAATCATCGAAATCGGACAATTTTTAACAAAGATACAGCTTACTGAAATTTGTAAACATGTTGGTTCCAAACAAAAATGTATATTTAAATTAATTTTTTTTTTCTTCGTCGATTATATTTATCGATAAAGTAACATTTGATTTCTTTATCTTTTGATACGTTGCATTATTTTATTTTCTTATTAATTTGGCATTTGTAACAATATGCTGTACGTATTTTCCACACAGGCCTACTAGTATATATATATATATATATATATATATATATATATATATATATATATAAGTTCGACTGTATAGACAGTACCACTACTTTAGCTGTCTTTCCTCCAGGAGCTAATCCAGACCTCATTATAATATTTAATTTTTTATTCATATATTTAAATCAATTATTATTTGAATCACAAATAAAATTATATAACATAATTATATGTCCATGAAACATCAAGATTTTTGAATTACCTTTCATAGAATCAATAAAGAGTAATAGGGCTTTTGGCAGCCATTTTCTGATTAACTTGATTTTTGATCTTTACGAGTTATGTTTTATTGAAATATTAGTATATACTTACATGTGTTTTGTGTAACACTATAAGTATTAAGTAATATTTACATGAGAATATAGTAAACAAATATAAGAGAGAAAAAAATTACAGTTCAAATGATCATAATATAAGATATTGGAAATTATAAGTATCAGATAAAGTTAGAATATAATACTTTAACTATTTGGGACAAAGCATTAGAAAAAATTAAAATGGCAACATAAATCATAGTTCATGGAATGACAGTAAGATAAGGACAATTTTTGAAAACGAAAACAAGATCAGCCATGTAAGTTATGAGAAACTGAATAAAAATAAATATTATCTATTTAATGGCACTGAAAAAAACAAACAAACAGATTTTGAAAATATGAAAGATATAGCCCCTTCCCCCTCAAAAAAAGATATATAATGACATAACTTTTTTTATAGAAACATTAGTTGAAAGAACAGTGTTCGAATAGCTACCTGAATGTTCATCATTAATTTAAAATACAGAAAAATCAGTCATAGAGGATTAAAAAAAAATTAAGGACTATCAAGAAAAACTTAACCTAATGAAGAGTATTTAGAAACAACATTAATAAGTTTAATGCTCAATTGAGGAAATATATAAACATTGGTCCAAGAAAACTAATGCTTGTAATATAACCTGGGAACTATCATCAAAAGATATGTTTTCAAGTAACAGTTCCCAAGTACAAAATTCAAATAACTAAACTTTTATACACAAACCTTACACTTAGTAAACCCAATTTGAGGCTGCAATATCACAGGGTAATTTAAGAATGTATTTGTTTAAAGTATAAACATTTGTATGGATATGTGAAAACACATATACATACATGTAAACACATACATACACACATGTACATGCGAACATATACATAATCACATACACAGAGACATTTATATGGACACACACATCAATATACATACACTAGAATGCATAAAATATGTACATGTACATACGTTTGTTAAATATTACTGTCATCATGACCTACTAAACAACCAACAAATGGAAGATGTTATGAAAATATTAATTTTGTCTAAATATTAAAACATATACAACAATTTTAAAGAACAAGAAATTCATTTACAATAAAATGATATTTTATGATAATAATGATTTAAGGAGTAGGGAGAATATAAAGATGCAATAAAAGTTATCAAAAGCTTCCGAACCCAATATCCATCCGGTCTGGTTTAATTCTGTCAAACATATGATTTGGCAAATAACTGGGTTGAGGATATGAAGAGTTAGGATAGGGTGGGTAAGGAAAATTGGGACTAGGCATATGTAAATTGGGAGTTGGAGGGTAAAACCCACTGCTTGAATTCGAATATGGATTAGAATATTGGGAGTAGGGATATGGAATCGCAGGATTACCAGACATATTAACACTAGAATCAATTCTACAAGCTCTATCAAGAGGATTTGGGAAAAGGGATGAGTTAGATTCCATTACAGCAGGCATTGGAGGTCCCATTATGTTGGGATAAGTTGGTGAACTGTAATTTCCAGCAAGAGAACTAACTGAGAAAGTTGAGTCAGATGCTGAACTATTTGCCAATGATGTAACAGAAAAATTGCTATGTTGCTGCATATATGAATTAGATGTTGTTGTATTATATTGAGGGCTAAAGTGGGAAGAACGAGGATAATCTGATAAATAGGCAGAATCTTCTGAATACTGTGAACCCATATGCTCACTTTCTCCACTTCCTACAGTATGCTGGGGCTCTCCATCTGTTATATTAGGAATTTGGTCAACCAAAGATTCTAAACCTGATAAGCTTTTAGAAGACACATCTTGGTTCATTGGTTTCGCTGGATATCGAACTCCAGAATCAGAATCAGTAGAAAACTCATCATAATTCTGATAACTTTTTTTTGACTGGGGACTAGAAAAATGACAGTCTTCTTCCTTTTCTTCTGGACTTTTACTAACATCTTCTGACAGATTAGCTGGAGGTTCAAAATCAGGAGGCCCTAATGTAGGAGATTCTGGATTCTGTTCAGAAGAAATAGCAGCACTGATTTCTGAAGATAAATCAGAATGAGTAAATGAAGGAGGCTGTGGTGACTGATTATAACCATGTGTTTGCAATGGTGACTGATGAAAGTTATTAGGGAGAGGAGATTGAGAACTTTGGCTATAATGAGGGGGTTGATAAATAGGGAAACTTTGCATATTTGGAGATTGAATAGGAGGAGAAAAGCAATGGTTTGGTGGATTACTATGTTCAGAATGATTAACACTTTCACTTTCAATTTTAATTTTCTTGGGCCTACCCCTTTTCTTCTTTGGTGCACCAGTCTTGTCATCAATTTTAGGTTTAGGTTCCTCAGGTTTCTGATCACCTTCTACTTTAATTTTTTTAGGACGACCACGTTTTTTTTTTGGTTGAGGTGGTTCATCTTCTTTTTTAGCTGAATTACTAATGTCTGTCAAGCTATTCACTTTATTATAATTATATACACATTGACCATCTTTTCCTTCTTCTTTTATGTCTGGTTCAAAAAAGTTTTTGAGCTTAGAATATGAAAATACTAATTCTTTATCATCAATTTCAGAAACTGTTCCATTTAAATAATCACGGAACTTTTTCAATGCAGCATAAAATGGAACTTTATCTGCAGCACGAGGTAGTTGAGCACAGCGAGCACTTGAAGAAGGCATTACCCACATATACTGAAACAAAAATAAGAAATTATTGTCTGAATCTTGGTTAAAAAAAATACCACTTAGTAATAGAGACGGCATTTTGTTAACAATTTAAATTTATTATAAGTTTTTTTTTTTGTCCTCCCCGTTCTCGCCGTTAAGGCTATACGGGGTTTTACTGGGCCAGGGGGTATGGGCGGGGATTTAACAGACGCCTTAGCACCGGGACGCGAACTCTTGACTATTTTTATAACACATTTGTCATATATCAGGTTGCCGGGCAACAGTGGTGCTGTGCACAACGCGTTAGCCTATTCGGCCACTCCACCCACTTATTATAAGAGCTGGTGATTGTCACGTATACATACTTATGCCTAGTGGAATACAGACCTAAAAATATACTAAATAAATGTGGTTAATAAATATTATGCCATCAATATATTATAGCTTTTAAAAAGAATATGAAATCTTTAATTCTAAGAAGTTCAATTGTAAAACCTTTCTATTTGACAGATCGAAACTATTGCTCAAACTAGAAATGTGAAAGTAAATGAGAGAGATGAAAGATGATCTTGTTTCAGAAGTTATCTTGTCAATTTTGCACTGGGGCAGTGTCATAAAGACAGCGGCCGCTAACAATAGATTGCAGAATGAGATATTGCTTATTGAGTTTATAAAAGGCTTAAAGATAACTTATTTAAATTCTGAGTCTAGAACATTACTCGAAAAGTTTCTTTTCTTTTCAATAAATTTATTTTGGAAGGAATGTTAACCTGTGGGGCTTAGACAGTGAAACATTCTATTGCTTTGACAATTAAGCATATAGAAATAGAAAAAGAAAATAAACTTTATTCTGGGATGATGTCCCCTTAAAATAACAATAATGAACAGTTACAAGAGAAAATATAAATATCTGCCAAAAACTAACTTGATAAAGATTCAAACAATACATACAACAACTTAAATAATAGTATATAAATTACTAAAAAATAAAATAAAATCTTCTCAATTATACTTATAATTTTACTGGAAAAAAAAAAAAAAAAAGAATTAGATATATAAAAAGAAAACCTCCAGAAAAGAAAAAAATATCAAAAGTACGTAAATAAAAAGTATTGACTTGTTATGTTAAAACCCAAACAGCTAAAACATACAAAATATATATATAGATTAAAGATATATTAAGGACAGAAAATGAGCAACAGCATCTCAATATTGCATTATCCCGGCATAAGAGATATAAAATAAGAATCAACAGATAAATACAATTAGGAAGGGACATGAAATTAATTTTATGAGAAAACAATCGCAACAAAAAAAAAAAACTGATTTAAAGAAAATAAATTATTGATATATGTTATACAATACGCAATAGTATTGTAAACTATAAAAAAGCATGGAGATTAAGATAATAATAATAATAATAATAAAAGGCTTAGCGAACCCGAAGGTTCGATGCCGACACCACCAATCGCTTATTACACACTCAGATCGGCTTTAATGCAATCTTCACACCTTCGCTTCGGTCTACTCCTCGGACGTTCATCATTCGGTACAGCAGATATTAACCTTTTAGGAATTCTCTTGTTACTAAGCCCAACTATTTTACAGACCCGTTTGATTCGTGATGAAATCACCTCAATTATATTACCCGGATACAGCTCACGCAATTCGGCATTGTGTAACCGTCTGAACTCTCCGGTTAATTAATCCTTCTTCGGTCCGAATATTCTATGCAATACTTTATTTTCAAAAACCTTAAGATGTTGCTCATCCCTTAATGTAAGCGGCCAAGTTTCACAACCATAAAGAACTGTAGGTAAGACAATGGTTTTATAGATTCTAATTTTTAAGTTCCGGGACAAGAGGTGTGAGCTAAGTAGTTTTGTCACAGAAAAATAACAAGCATTTCCCGCCTTCAATCTTACCTTAATCTCTTCTTCAATTTCGTTTTTTCTAGTTATCGTAGACCCTAGAAACCTAAACTTCTCTATCTGTTCAAACATATTACCATCTATATCGATATCACCAGTAATATCGCCATTTTTGCAGCTAACCATATATTTTGTTTTATCCGTGTTTATTTCGAGCCCTACTGAATGAAATACGTCTAAAATAAACACAATCTTGTAGATGGAAAAAATAAAAATGGATAAAAATAACAAACAAATCTCTTATTATTTATGTATCACCTCTCAGTGCAATGCCAAAAGTGATACTGAATCTTTCCAATTCATAATTGGTAATTGGTTGACTGTCGTGGATAATGAAGAGAAGAATAGTTGGGGTGGTCAGTTAAAAAGGAAGGCAAAAATAAATGATAATATTTATTTTTTACATATGCCGACGTTTCGACCTGAAGTTCAGGCCTTCATCAGGGCTAAGAAAATAACCAGATAACAAGGTATGTTATCAAATGTTGATCAATGCTGGAAGGTGGACAAACTTCGAACCGTCAGCTGAAGACATCTAAGTTCTTGGCCTGGTCGATGAAGACCACCTGATTGCCGTCGTCTTTTTGGTACCTCAATCTGCTAGCAGCAAACCAGGTGTACTTTATTTTTCCTGCGGTTTTCTTCTGTTGAGCAAGCCAGTATAGGTGTCTATTCATCTGGGTCATCTCCTAACTGAGATAGATACGGTGGCAGTCATTTTCCTGCGTCGAAAAGTCCCTTTTAATATTTTTCTTTTGCACCAGGTCGTCCCTTACTGATTGCCTGACAAGCTGCACGATAATAGGCGGTGGTTGCGGGTCGTCTGTTCTGGATTTGCGACGCTGCACAGTGTGCAGATCTTCCATATTGAGCTTGATTTCCACACATGCCCCTATATTTGTTACCAGAGCTGCGGGGGTCTCACCTGCTCGAACTGGGATTCCCTGAATCTTGAGTGATCTTCTTAGCAGGCCTTGTTCAGCTTTATTTAGTCTGACCTCTAATTCACCCACCATAGATTTGAGGGTTTTATTTTCCGAAATCATTTCCTCTAGATGTTTTGCCTGTCCCTCCAAATGATTTTTAATTTTATTTAGTCTTGTGTTTAATTCGAAGCTGAGGTCACCAGGTCAAGCGCAGATTTAATATTTTTTATTTATTCATTCACATATTTATCAAGCTGCTGTACTGCCGCCAGTATTTCTGACAATATTTTTGATTAATGTTTTCACTGCCTAGCATACCCTTTTTAGCCTGATCGCAACTAGCACAAAACCACACTTTTTTGAGCCCCAGTCTTTATCCCTAATTTTACAGCACCTGCTGTGAAATAACAGTTTGCACTTAGCGCAACATAAAATATTTTTTTCATCTATAGTGATAGTACTGCTGCGTACCCGGTAATGAGCCATATTGATATAAAGTAAATAAGTTGTACTTACAATAATAAGAAGGAATGTTATGATCCGTAAGACAACGGCGGGGCTTAATCCTATAGAACTCAAAAATCAAACAATTTGAACAGAACAATATAGAGGTATGTTGACTGGTGGCTGCCTATGTTGAGACTCATATATTGTATAAGCATATATATTGCCATTAATTTCTGGTGCAGCAGGATCAGTCATGCTCTATCTGAATAAGAAGATTACCATCTGTCACAGCTCAGAACAAGTTGAATAGAAAATTATAACAGAAGTAGATCAAATAACTCCTAGATATCTGTGGTGAGGATCTTAAACACACACACAAACACAAATATTTCAAAATATAAAAATATCAGCAAATGTATAAAGTAAAACTAATAACAAAAAACGTGTTCCTTTTCCTTTACTTGTTAAGCATACAAATCTCAGCACATCAGAATTATTTAAAAAAATTATTATACAATTCAGAGGAGATTATATATATAAATGTGATAAATTTGGCAATTTTGCATAATTCCTAGGTATTATATATATTCACTAAAGCTTGGATCTGAAGATCTTAAACCATTTATTAAAAAATAGTATATCATATTTATAGAGCATAAAAATAAAAAAACATAAATGAACAAGATAAAACTGAGTAGGAACCTCACATGATAACGTTTAAAAAAATTAGACTTTTAAGAATTAACATTACTTAATAATAAGAATATTTATATGTTTGTGGGAAATAATATTCGGGAAAGCACTGCGTTTAATTTTTAGTGCACCACACTTGACCCCAGTTGCAGCTGTGGAGCTGCAAACTACAGGACAACCCCTTTCAAACAGTGTGAGCGAGCTGCAACAATGTACCTTCACGAGCGAAGATAACCAAAACTTTGTTTACAAATTTGAAAAAAACATAACGCAAAGTATAATTGGAATTCACAATTGACAAATATGTTGAGAATCATAGACTCGGTTGAATTATTGAACATTAAAAATAAAGAATTATTTGAAGAGGAATTTAAAAACACTATTGAAAAATTAAAATGTAATAAATTTTCCCTCCATATTCAATCCATATTGAACTCAAAATTTAATCAAAACTTTAGAAAAATTAGTAGCTTGACTAAGGATTTATGTTATCTAAAACTTAAAGGGCCAATAAAAAAGCATAGAATGATTAGCCAATTAAGACTGTGCCAGCCAGAGAACTTAAAGGTTACTTCTCACAGCTTTCAAAATACTTTTCTAGATAGAAGTTCACGGCTTTCAAAATACTTTTCTAGAAAGAAGTGCTGAATGTCCCATTTGTAATACAAGTGAACCCGAAGATTTATAGCATTTTCTGTTGCATTACCTACATATGTAGCTTTTAGCCATAAGTATTTAAATGAATATATTGATGGTAATTGTGATGATAAAGATCAAATAGTACAATTATTAGATACAGAAATCAAATATAAATTCAATGATTTATACTGGTATGTAGAAAGTTGTTTAAAATTAAGAAACTCATTTTTGTTTGTTCAAGAATAAATGGTTTCATATATTCTTAATGTTAATTAAGTTTAAGGTTATATGTAAATATAATATTAGGACTAATCATTATATTTTAATTTGCTAAAGAAAGATCGTTTTGTTTATAGTTATATCAAACACACTAATATTATTTTTAAGG